GCCCAGCAGCGACACCAGGATGAGCGCCCGCTTGCGGTACTTGTCGCTGGTGCCGAAGGTGATGTAGGGCAGGAAGGCGAAGGCCAGCAGCAGCCCGCTGAGGAAGCCGAAGATGTGCGCGATGTTGTCGATCCAGGGCAGGAGGCCGCACGCGAACAGGAAGAGCATGACGGCCGACAGGTGGAGGAAGGCCTTCCAGGGCCGCTCCAGCAGCTGCCAGCTCTGGAAGAGCTCCACGAAGAGGCAGGCCAGGAGGCCGAACTGCGACCCGGCCGGGCCCACCTGGGCGGGGAGGGCAGCGGTCATCAGGGGCCCGTCCGTGAGAGCCCCAGGAAGGCAGGGATGGGGACCCCGAGGCTGAAAGGCTGGGGTCAGCTGGAGAGACCATCATACAAGGCCTGTCCCACCCGCTTTTCGGCAAGCACAGTGCCTGCTGTGTCCGTGCTCAGGGCAGACACGCTGCCGAGCGACACGGGGAGCTCCAGGTCCCACCCACGGGGAGGGCAGACCCCGAGGAGCCCAGCCGGCTGAACTGGCCATGAGGGCCCCTACAGGCCTGAACATGGCTCAGGCTAGAGGGGTTCAGCTGGTGTAGTCAGGGAGAGAAACGAGGCAGAAGGAGAGCTGGGGTCAGGGGTCTCTGGTGACCCAAGGGCATCGCGGCGCCCTCTCACGGGGGATTAAGGGACAGACCAGTAAGCCCCAGCTTAGCCGTCCATCTGCCGTTGGGCCCAGCTGGCCCTCTCCCCGTGACACAAAATGTCAGGCCAGAGACAGCTGCCCCCCGCCCCTGCTGCCCGTGTCCCCACCTCGGCCCGGTAAGGAAGGAAGATGGCGCTGGCGAGGTTGCCCGTGATGCCACTGAGCACGAAGATGATGGCGATGCGGTGCCAGCCAGCCAGCTTCTCCAGGTCCCGCAGGACAGTCATTTGGAAGACCACAGACACGAGGCAGTGTATCACACTGGGGACGGGACAGGGGACACCGTGTCTGCCCACTGCTGCCAGCCAGGCACCTTGGGGGTGGGGTCTGCGTAGGCAGCTGGGGGCCGCGGGCAGCCCCTTACCCGGCGTGCAGGAACAGGGACAGCCAGAGCCGGTAGAACTGATCCGGGACCTCCGGGTTGAGGAAGGGCAGCAGCCCACACACCTCGTCCAAGCAGTGCACCTGCGGGAGCACGCATGTCAGGGTCCAGGAAGCGGCCCGAGGCTGAGGCCCTGACGTGGGAGGGAAGGCCTCAGCCCTGGCCGCGTCCTCGCTCCCCTCCCAGGGCCCCCGCCAGGCCTCGCCTCACCTGGGAACAAAGCGTGGCCTCTTCGTGGAAATAGCCGTGCATGAACTCACAGTACTCCCGGGTGGTGATCTCACAGCTGGGACGGGCAGGGGGGCATCAGGGTCGAGGAGCCCCTGCCCACCTCGCCCCGAGCCCAACACCTGGCCACAGCAGCGACGCTGGCAGGAAGGGGACACCCCTCTGCAGAGACCTCAGCCCTGGATCAAGACCCCTCATTCTGCTCCCACCATGCAGAGCCCCAAACCGGGGGGAGGAGGGACAGCACTGAAGGGCACCAGCCGACAGTAGAGGTGACAGTGGAGGGGCAGAGAGGTGCAAGGAGCTCTGGGCAGTGGCTGGGCAGGCCGAGGAGGGCAGCGGCCCGGCCGGCTCACCTGCCCTTGGTGCCAATGCAGCAGGGACGGCCCTTGATCTCGCAGTCCATGTGCAGGAAGCCCGTGCGGTTGCTCTGGGCCTGCTCTGTGCAGATCTGTGGGGCGGGGGCACTGGTGGGCCGGGTCTGTGGGCGGGCAGGCCCCATCCTACTCTCCCCAAGCACTCTCCACCCGGGCCCTCACTGACCGGCCACTTGGTGATATCATCAGGCCAGATGTGGGCACCACTGGAGGCTGGCTCCTCACAGGTCCTGGAGGTAGGGGTCAGGCCGGGCTAAGGAGGGGCTGGCTGCGGCACCCCCAGCCCGATGCCCACCCGCCAGCGGCCCGGGGGGAGTCCGTTTTTTTTCCCCCCCCGCCAGCGTCCCGGGGGCATTCTGACAGCCCGGCTGTGCTCCTGCTGTACCTGGGGTCCTGGTGACACACGGCCCCCGACGTTCGCTTCTGGCCCAGGTCGGACTTGTCCATGGGGGGCCCGGAGTCATTCTGCCACTTGACAAAGGTGGCCAAAGTCTCCTGGAGAGTGGAGGAGGGCTGGTCATGCTGGAGCCAGGTCCCCCCACTGGACTGGGCAGGAGACCCTCCAGGACCAATGATTCTCCAGTTGCCCAGGGCTCAGGCCCACCTCCCAGAACCCCTACCCGATCTGACACGCCTGAGACCCAGCTTCCACCCGTGGGCTGAGGGGGTCAGCCAGCCCCTGGGCAGCGGCACCTGTGCCAGCCCGTGCAGTGCCAAGGCTGCAGCTGTACGGCAGGGCGGAGAGGAGGGCGGGGGTGCGGAGGGAGCAGTCACCGCCCTCCGAGGGTCCACCCTCACCGAGCAGTCCTTCCGCTGCGTCTGGATGCAGCCCGAGTGGTCGCCCCCCGCCCCCCCCCCCGGGCCCCCCCCCCGCCGCACCAGCTGCTCGATCTGCTGGTCCTTCCGGATGCACGGCGAGAACTTGGCTCCCAGGTGGATCAGGTCGATCTGGGTGCGGGGAGAGTGTGAGCGGGACCCCAGCCTGGTAACAGTCAGCAACTCCAACTCCACCCTGTGGGGTCCCCGAGGAGGGCAAGCAGCCCACCTGCCCAGTAGGGGGACAGCGGAGCATGGGGCAGCCTGCAGAGAGGACGTCCCATCCTGGGCCCTCACCGAGCTGGGGCCGACCCAGAAGTTCTCCTGCTGGACGTACTTCACGCTCTCATACACGCCCTTGTTCCTCAGCACCTGAGGCAGAGGCGTGCGTCAGGAGGTGTGGTCCCTGGGCGTGGGGAACCGGGATGGTTGGCTTAGAGCTCTGCCCCACGTGGCCCTCCTAGCCTGGGGGTGGGGGGCCAAGGCAGCAAGAGGGTAAGTGGCCCCCAGGGCAGAGCCTCCAGGAAGAGCCTCACCTCCACACTATGGTGAGCCCAGAGCTCCTGGTGT